AAAGTTGTTGTTTTAAATCTTCATTTGATCTTCTATTAATTGAATTATCTTTGTTGTCACTTCTATTAGTAACAAGAGTAGCAATATATTTAGTGTCATGTGAAGAGGACAAAGTGGTTGTAGTTGCGGTAGTAGTTGATGATGATTTCTCAGTTCTATTACTATTAATATTAATGTTGCCGCTAATATTGTCATTATTATTACTAATGATATTACTACTATTATTAATATCTTCTGGTTTTATTTTTACATCCACTTTTTGAAATGTTAAAGAAGTTGCAGGTGATGGTAATGGTGGTAATGGTGGAGGCAATGTTGACAAAGATGATAAAGGAATCTTTTTTTTCTTGGATGATAATGATTTACCATTTAATCTATGACCAGTTGTAGGAGTTCTGCGTATTTTCTTTCCTGTTGTAGTAGTGGTGGTAGTTGCTGTTACTGTCTCTTGTGATAATGATATTGGTGATTGTGATTGTGATATTGGTGATTGCGATGGTAATGGTGATAATGGTGATGATGGTGATGGTGATGGTGATGGTGATGATGATGATGATGATGATGATGATGATGATGCAATTTGTGATGATGATGATGCTATGTGTACTGATTGCAATGATGTTGATGATAATGCAGATGTAGATATAGATACAGATGATTTTAAAAAAGATGATGATGAGGATTTTTTCAAAATTGGTGTTGCAAATAATAATGAAGAAGAAGAAGGCGCAGAGGAAGGAGAAGATGCAATTGTAGTTTTTAATATAAGGTCATTTAAATCATTTAAATTATTCAAATTATTCAAATTAGATCTTGAAATAGATGATGATTTATTATTTGATGATGGCGTTAACAATAATAAGTCATCATCATCACTGCTACTATCGCTACCACTACTAGTGGTTGAACCTTCACTGTCATCATCACTACTACTTTCATCAAGCCATCCTACAGAAGAAATTGGAGAATGTGAATTAAACGTTTCTGGAATAGGTGATAGACGTGACAATAATACGGAGGGGGCGGAGTGGTCTATTAAAGATGATAACGTTGGTGAAGATGACGAGGACGGTGAATTATTATTATTAGATGTAGCACTCTTGTTAGCAGGCAATTCTATTGTTAAGCCATTGATTTGTAAAGGCTTAGAACTTATAGGTGATAAAGGTGGTAATAATGTATGATCATCTTTATTATTACTAATGGAAGTGGATAATTTTAATGACAATATAGTAGAAGTTAAAGGCGAAGATGCAGGCGTTGTTAAAGATGTTGCAGTCGAAGGAGTTGATGATCCTGATGACGATGATGATAATGTTGATGATGATGATGAATGAGTGGATGATGATGAAGGATGATAAATTTGATTGTCGTTATTGCTGTTATTATTAATGCTACTATTGTTTAACAATGAATTAGATTTTGATCTTGATTGTCGAACAAATAATTGTTGGGATGATAGATTCGATAAAGAATTATTCGAGGAAAAACTAGGCGAATGATGATTCTTTTTTAAACTTGAACCCATTCTATTAATTTCTTCTTGAATTGCTTCAATTGAAAATTCGTCTTTGTTGTTATTATTGTCATTATCATAATTATCATCATTAATTACATTATTATGAAGTTCAAGGTCCTAAATAAATAATTGATTGATTGATTAATTTAAATTACAATGATTAATAGAAACATATTATATAGTAAAACCGAGCACTTCATTACTAGTACTAATTAGTACCTTTGTAAGTTCTTCGACCTCTAGCTCTAATTGTCCAAAAAGTAAATCCAGATTACTTGTCATATTGTAAATAAATTATGACAATTAATTAGCGAGCGAAAGAAGGTAAAAAAAATTGTAAAATTTGTTTTTTAATTTTGTAAAAGGGAATGAATTAATTGGTTTTTTCAAAAAATATAAATAGGAGCGAAAAAGGAATACAAATTAATTTATTAAAAAAATATTATCTTTTTATGTAATTAAAAATATCAATCTTTTTTATTTACGTAATTAAAAATTATTTTTATTTATTTGTTTATTCCTTGTAAAATAAACAAATGAACAAAATAGTAAAAAAAAGTCTCTTTCCAAAATTTCGCACACATTTTATAAATACTTTTTTTTTTTAAACAATTATTTTAATTATTTTAATTATTTCTAATAATAATAATGTTACAAAAAATGAATTTCTCGAGTTTGTAACACAAGGATATTGTTTAATTGCTCCGTTAACAGCCGTTAATCATAGTTATCAAGTTCATACACATAAATTGTAATTTTAGCGATAGGATGATTTCAATGATCAAAATCACAAGTCATCATAAAAATTATTTAAATGTATCGATTTTTTTTTTATCCGTAACCTATTTACAAATTTTTATTGAGAAAGGAGGAATAAAAAAATTTTTGAAAATTAAAGACAATTCATAATAAAAATTAAAAAAATATAATAAAAAATTTCTAATAAAAAATTTTTCTCTTCCTTTTCTCTAATTCTAAAATATTTGTTATTGATTGCTTGCTACTTTTTACTTGACCATTATATTAAATAATATAATATTATTAATAATGAAATAAGAAAACGGACACAAATTATTTATATAATATATAATATTGAATTTTTTTTGTTTGCAAAATATATATATATAAGTTAATATATATGATATATATATACAAAAACATGAAAATTAAAAAAAAACGAAATAAAAATATATATAATGTATGATTATAATATATTAATAATAAATTTTTTTTAGCAAATAGACATAAAATTTTGTTGTGATGGGATATTATATTTTGAATTGTTTAGTAACGAGAATAACCACCACCGCCGCCACTTCCACCATAACCACCGCCGCCACCACCACGTCCACGACAACAGCAACAACAATGAAGACCAAAAAGGCCATGTAAGGTCAACTAGACCAAAGGAAACTACGATGGATGAACGTGGCCGTACTAAATCTAGACCACTTAGAGAAACAACTACAACAACAACAAAGACCGCTGAAGAACAGCAACGCGGACGTGCAAAATCTAGAGCTAGAGAACCATTAATAACGAATGTTGAAGAACAACAACGCGGACGTGGCAAGTCTAGAACTAGAGAACCATTAATAACTAGTGTTGAAGAGCAACAACGCGGACGTGGCAAGTCTAGAACTAGAGAACCATTAATAACCAGCGTTGAAGAACAACAACGCGGACGTGCCAAATCTAAAGCTAAAGAACCATTAATAAATAACATTGAAGAACAACAGCGCGGACGTGCCAAGTCTAGAAATAGAGAACCATTAATAACTACCAATGTTGAAGAATCACCATCACAACAACGTGAAACACGTGCTAAATCTAAAACAAGAGAATCTAAAAACGGAAAGCAGAAATCTAAAGGACGGTCAAAAGATTTTGATTTTGCTGATCAAGATAAACATCCATTACCTCGTCGTGACAAAGTATATATTAAAATTGAAATTTTTATTTCTCAAATAGTTTACTTTGTTTTTCTTTAGACTAATTGATATTGTCTATAATTTTTATTACAATGTATAGACGAAATATTCGGAAAATTCAACACATATTGAAAATAGTGAATTCAAGGTAATTTCAACAAATAATTAATCAATAATCTCTAATAATAAACAACTTAATAAATAATCTAATTGAATAATTTATTAATATTATTAGCAGCTTACAGCACAAATATATATTGAAGAAACACATCAATCCAAAAAAATATCAATAACATCTGAAATGACAGCTTTGGATGTATTGAATTCATTGCGTAATAATAAATCAATTAGTGATGATGATTCATGGACAATATTTGAGCTAATTAATGAATTTGGATTAGGTAAATGTTTTAAATTTCTAAAATTTATTTTTATATATATAGTCTTTGCTCACATATATTCAACCACTTTTTAAATAGAACGTCCAATAAGGGATTGGGAATATTTATCAAGAATTATTGAAACTTGGGATTTTGATAGAAAGTATGCATTTGTTCTAAAGAAATATCCATATAGAAATGCATTAACAATTGATGGGTTCAATAACGCTGTTCCGCCAATGTTTGGTTTCTTACATATGGAAGTAAAGAAAAATAAATGGCAAAAAAGATATTTTCATGTTAAAGATGGTTCTTTATATTACAATAATAATGGCAAAGATACTAAATCAAAAACCAGCGACAATTTTTTATGTACAATGGCAAATTTCGACGTTTATTCGCTAATAAAATCGTGTAACAGGAAACCACCAACAAAATTTGTTTTTGCATTAAAATCTCAAGATAAAATAACAATGTTTGAAAATCCTGAAAATGATTATATTAAATATTTATGTGCTGATCATTACGATAAAATGAAAGATTGGGTATTAAGCATTAGTACTGCTAAGGTAAACTATTTTTTTCTTTCTTTTGTGTATACTTGGACTATGTATATATTAATAATATGTGAATATATATATCTTATTTTTTTTTTTTTTTGCAGAATAATTTGATGCTTGCTGAAAATCCCGAATTGTTCTTAAAAATGGGCTTTAAAGATGATAGTAATAAAGTATGTAAAATTTACAAGAAATTTTATTTGCTTATTTAAAAATAGCATATCAAATATCAAATATCGACATTCATAATCCTAATAATCTTCTATTTGAATTTTAGGATAAAATAATTACTGAAAAATCAGATTCATCATTATCACAGTCTTTTCAGCAACAACAAAACGTTCGCAGTAATCATCTTGGAAAACCTAATTCTGAAGTAATGTTTAAAGAAGGTTCTTTACTGGGTTCTAGTGATAAAAATTTATTGGCACCAAATGCTTCTAGTACTACCACTATTAGTCCATCATCATCACCACAAACACCATTGACACAACAAATTGAACAAACCACATTTATTAAAGGATCATTATTAGATTCCAATGAAAAAATTCAACCGCCTTTATTATCACAGCTACAAAATCAACAACAAAATGACCAAGTACCATTTATCAAGGGATCATTATTAGATTCAAATGAAAAAAGCCAACAACAACTATCATCACCACTAACATCAACATATAGACAACTAAATCAACAACAACAAAATGATCAAATATCATTTGTTAAAGGATCATTGTTGGATACAAATGAAGCTTTACTTGAAGAAGTTAAAGAACGAGAAAAATTGCGTAGAGCATTAAATGGATCAGGATATGTAAAAGATTCAATGAATAATAACACGTACATTAATATTAGTGAATCTATAAAATTTAATAAAGGTTCTTTATTAGATAAAAATCGAGAAATTGTTGAATCATCATCAACTAATAACACAGATGGTGCTAGTT